CCATATGCCACTGAAGTACATACTGTACATACAATTTTTTTTTTCAAAGCATTATTACAATCTAAACTAAGTCCTAAACCAACATGGGTCATACAGTTTTTCGAATTAATGTTCGAGAATAGTATAATACTTTACAAAGATGAAGGAAAAGATCATACAGTAACAGAATTTATTACTGGTTTATCATTCTTAGCAGAAGGCAAAAAAAGAAAAAAAAAATGTAGTACTGTACTTATGAAAAATAGTGAAGCAGTTAGCACAAAGAGCATGTCAAGCACATACCAGAGTGAAAGTATCAGTAAGTACACCAGAAAGTAAAATGCACAAAAGAAACCCAGTTAAAGGAAAGAATGGGTTAATAATAACTGCTGAAATGGAAATGTATAAAAAATGTAGTAGGATGATAAGTACTATAGCTGTGTATACTCATATATAAAAACAAACATATACATTTATATTGCATTTATGGATTTAGAAAAGGCATATGATAGAGTGGATAGAGGAGCAATGTGGCAGATGTTACAAGTTTATGGAATAGGTGGTAAGTTACTAAATGCTGTAAAGAGCTTTTATGAGGATAGTGAGGCTCAGGTTAGGGTGTGTAGAAGAGAGGGAGACTACTTCCCGGTAAAAGTAGGTCTTAGACAGGGATGTGTAATGTCACCATGGTTGTTTAATATATTTATAGATGGGGTTATAAAAGAAGTAAATGCTAGGGTGTTCGGGAGAGGGGTGGGATTAAATTATGGGGAATCAAATTCAAAATGGGAATTGACACAGTTACTTTTTGCTGATGATACTGTGCTTATGGGAGATTCTAAAGAAAAATTGCGAAGGTTAGTGGATGAGTTTGAGAATGTGTGTAAAGGTAGAAAGTTGAAAGTGAACATAGAAAAGAGTAAGGTGATGAGGGTATCAAATGATTTAGATAAAGAAAAATTGGATATCAAATTGGGGAGGAGGAGTATGGAAGAAGTGAATGTTTTCAGATACTTGGGAGTTGACGTGTCGGCGGATGGATTTATGAAGGATGAGGTTAATCATAGAATTGATGAGGGAAAAAAGGTGAGTGGTGCGTTGAGGTATATGTGGAGTCAAAAAACGTTATCTATGGAGGCAAAGAAGGGAATGTATGAAAGTATAGTAGTACCAACACTCTTATATGGATGTGAAGCTTGGGTGGTAAATGCAGCAGCGAGGAGACGGTTGGAGGCAGTGGAGATGTCCTGTCTAAGGGCAATGTGTGGTGTAAATATTATGCAGAAAATTCGGAGTGTGGAAATTAGGAGAAGGTGTGGAGTTAATAAAATCATTAGTCAGAGGGCAGAAGAGGGGTTGTTGAGGTGGTTTGGTCATTTAGAGAGAATGGATCAAAGTAGAATGACATGGAAAGCATATAAATCTATAGGGGAAGGAAAGAGGGGTAGGGGTCGTCCTCGAAAGGGTTGGAAAGAGGGGGTAAAGGAGGTTTTGTGGGCGAGGGGCTTGGACTTCCAGCAAGCGTGCATGAGCGTGTTAGAAGACTGCCAAAAAGTGTCTGATGAATGAAGCAACAGAAAGGGAGGGGAATGATTTTCTATTTTTTAGCTAAAATACGTGTAAATTTTACCTTATCCCTAGTAATGACCCTCGTATTGTAGATAGTCGTAATGACCCTCGGGTAGTAGATAGTCTTAATGACCCTCGTCTTGTAGATAGTCTTAATGACCCTCGTGTAGTAGATAGTCTTTTTAGTATGATAATAAGATGTTATCTTCATTATAGAATAACAAGAAAATATTATAACCTTTATATTATAATAATAAGGTAAAAGGACCCCAATGGAAATAAGTCACTCTGTCTGACTTTTTTGGGTTATCCTAGGTTCTCTACACATATGCTGCTATGTATGATAATTCTATGTAACTGTATTGTGTATACCTGAATAAATTTACTTACTTACTTACTAGATAGGAGTGAATGGAGACGAATGATACTTGGGACCTGACGATCTGTTGGAGTGTGAGCAGGGTAATATTTAGTGAAGGGATTCAGGGAAACTGGTTATTTTCTTATAGTCGGACTTGAGTCCTGGAAATGGGAAGTACAATGCCTGCACTTTAAAGGAGGGGTTTGGGATATTGGCAGTTTGGAGGGATATGTTGTGTATCTTTATACGTATATGCTTCTAAACTGTTGTATTCTGAGCACCTCTGCAAAAGCAGTGATAATGTGTGAGTGTGGTGAAAGTGTTGAATGATGATGAAAGTATTTTCTTTTTGGGGATTTTCTTTCTTTTTTGGGTCACCCTGCCTCAGTGGGAGATGACCAACTTGTTGAAAAAAAAAAAAAAAATATACACACACACATACATGCACACACAAACAATGTACCGCAAAGATCGGTATTAGGATCAATGTTGTTTCTCGTTTGTGAATGACATACCAGATGGAATCGAGTCAGATGCATCTCTATTTGTTGATGATGTAAAACTAATGACAGGTGAGGATGGAAAAACGCTACAAAAGAATCTGAACAAACTGCAGGGTTCATCAAGTAAGTGGTTGCTTGAATTCAACCCCAGCAAATGCAAGGTTATGAAGTTTGGGGAATTGGCCACGAGACCAGACACAAGAGTACAAGACTCCGGGAACAGAGGCTGCTGACATCATTCATCAAGAAGGATGGGAGTAAGCATAGTGCCTACTATATCACCAGAGGATCACATCAAATGAATAACCTCTACAGCCAATGCTAGCCTGACAAATCCGAGTGGCTTTCGAATCTCAGCAATGAGTCATTCCGGGTGCTTTATACAACATATGTCAGGCCCATCTTGAAATATCCAGCACCAGTATGGAACCCACACCTGAGAAAGCATGCTAGGAAATTAGAGAAATTTCAGAAGTATGCAATGAGACTAGTCCCAGAGCTAAGGAATATGAGGAATGGTTAAAAGAATTTAATCTCATGACCTGAAAGGACAGAAGGACCAGGGAACACATAACACACAAAATACTAAAACGAATTGTTAGAGCAGACAGAGAGAGGCTGTTGGAGAGGCAGGAAACAGGTGCTCAGAGCCACAGCTAGAAGCTAAAGCCACAGATGAGTCACAGGGATGTCAGAAAGTCTTTCTTCAGTCTCAGGGTGGTTGGAAAATGTAATGACCTCGATGAAGAAGTGGTGGAGGTAGATGCCATACATAATACATAGTTTTAACCCTTTCAGGGTCGAGAGGCCCTCTCCTAAACTTGTTCTCAGGGTCGAAAATTTTTCAGAAAAAAAAAATTATTTTTTCTTATGAAATGATAGAGAATCTTTTCCCGATCATAATGACACCAAAAGTATGAAATTTAATGGAAAACTTACGGAATTATGCTCTCGCGAAGCTAGTGGTCTCGCCGATGCGTAAACATCGGCGATTCCACCCACTTTGAGCTCTAGTTTTGGCCAATTCCTGTGTACTAGTCGACAAAAATCATATTTATTTCGCTAGAACTCCATTTTTTCTATCAAATGAGTACAAGAAACCACCTATTTACCAATTTCAACTATCCAATAAAGTGGTTAGAAATTGGCAATTTTGCCAATTTCACACAAATTTTAGAAGATGCCAATTTCCAAATAGGGTCCAGAATAAACAAGAAAGACATTCCTGGCACTAAAATAACAAGTTCTCTGTTCGTTAGTAACGTCCCCAGGCCCCTCTTATATTTCTTTTGCTTTCCACTTTGAATTTTTATTCTTACAAAAAATAGAAGATTTACTGTTATGAAGACTACTGCATTAGTGTAGAAATGGTATAAATAATATCAGCACACTTGTGAAAGAATATTAGACTCGCCAGTTGACGTGTATTGGACGCTTGGCATGATTTGTTTACTTTTGAACTTTGGTAAAAATCAAACATTTTTGCTACATTGAGCTCAATTTCAAGGTACTTTTCATTGTGAAACCAGTCAAAATCATTTCAATTTCTGTAATATGTCTTCCATTCTATAAAATGAGACCAGGAAAACTAGAATACAACCATAAATACCATACCAAATACAGTGCCAAATCGCTGTTTTAATCCAAAAACACGGTCAGTTTTTTTTTCTCATTACGCACTGTGTGCTGCAGGATTTTTTTTATACTGCGCACACTGACCACATAGACCCATTCTTTCATATGTAAACCTACCAGCTTTCTCTCGCTAGATTTGAATTATTATTATTATTATAATCAAAAAGAAGCGCTAAGCCACAAGGACTATACAGCTCGCTAGATTTGAAGGTGCTAGAATTTAGGCGTATGTCAATAACCCTGGTGTGTAAGCCGTACTAGTACGTCGAAAACCCTGAAAGGGTTAAGAACAGGTATGATACAATCCACGAGGCTAGGAGAATAAATCTGGCAAGCGGTAAGTGAAGAGGCAAGGCCAGGAGCTAAGAAATATAGGTATGTATGTATGCAGTTTGGAGGGATATGTTGTGTATCTTTATACGTATATGCTTCTAAACTGTTGTATTCTGAGTACCTCTGCAAAAGCACTGATAATGTGTGAGTGTGGTGAAAGTGTTGAATGATGATGAAAGTATTTTCTTTTTGGGGATTTTCTTTCTTTTTTTTTTTGGGTCACCCTGCCTCAGTGGGAGACGACCAACTTGTTGAAAAAAAAAAAAAAAATGTATGCATACATGCATGAACACGTGCACATGCACACAAACACATGCACGTGCCATGGATAAGTAAGGCTAACAATCTGCTACTAATATTACACTTATTAATAATAATCTAACTTGAATGTTACAGCTCCTTCTTGAGCAGGTGAAACAAGTCAAAAACAGACAAGCATGAAGAGCTGACTTGTATTTTGAATTTACATGCTTAACTTTACCTCTTTTTTATGGTAAGTGCTGTACCATCACAAATGCACACTTTAATGTTTAACCAGAGGTTGTATAGTATATAAATTTTAACAAAATGAAATGAGAAATTATGTATATAAAGGAAAAGGTCAAAGGTAAACCCACAGGTCAAGAAAAAATTTATTGAGTGACAAGTGAAAATAAATTTTTATATATAAATTTAAATCAAATGTACAGATTTTGCATATGTTTTAAAATCAATATGTAGTGCAGTACTCAAATAGATCTTGAAAACTGTTAAATTATGAAACTTTTCATTTAATTTACAAGAACTGTAACTCATTAAATATTATTTTAAGAACAAATGAAAGGTTGAAAATCCATTCTTCAGCTATTCACCAAATGATCTATCTGACAATATCGTACATGTAAAGGAACAGCATTCACAAGACACAGGGTGCACCATTATTCATTTCACTGGCAGTATTCATTTTTGTGAAAGCTGTTAAACTGTATTGTATAATAATACATTCACCGAGTGATAAATTACATGTCTATGTACAATTTATCAGTTTTTCCCATCTAAAAATACTGGTATACGATTATGAAAGCCCAAGTCATTCTTTAAAACAGCTGGTAATGAGTAGAGCCTCAAAAGTATGAACTGACAAGTGATGAATCTCTTATGCACACATACACTACTTGTACAAATTAATATGCATAGAAAGGACCCTGCATATGACACCCTGCTTCAGATAAATTCAGCAGCAACTGATAAAACAACATGATGCAAATACATTCTTCTTTCTTCTTTCAACACACCAACCGTATCCCACCAAGGTGGGGCGGCCCACAAGGAAAAAACGAAAGTTTTTCCTTTTACATTTAGTAATATATACAGAAGAAAGGGTTACTAGCCCTTTGCTCCCGTCATTTTAGTCACCTCTTATGACATGCATGGCTTATGGAGGAAGAATTCTGTTACACTTCCCCATGGAGAAAAAACATTCTCAGCTTCAATAATTTCTAGCACTAAGAATGATGCAAGTAAAATAACCCACACTTAGGACACTGAAACTTATAATGTTTCAGTCCAACCTGAACCATTAAGAAGCTTCAGTCTCCTAAGTGCAAGTTATTTGTGTATTGTTCCAGCCACATTGTGAAATTTTATTCTAAAATAAAAAATGAAGTTTATAACTTCAAAAGTTGCACTAACTAAATGTGCTTTGAAAGTTTCCTTACCTCACTCTATGAAATCTTATAACTCAGACTAGAACTAAATATGGTTTAATTACATTACAATTCTGTTATAAAATTATCTTAATCTTTCTCTCCCTATCCCCCAATTATTTTTTCCAGTTTTAGCACCACTAAACCCTCCTATTTCTACCATATATACAACAGAATTGTGCTGAATACATAATATATATGCATCTTCTTAAATTAATTTTAAAAATCCTTAGAATAAAAAACACTTAGAAATATTTACAGTTTTAAGGCTGCTCACACCAAAGGGAACATGCTAACACTAATTCAAAGTACATCATATTACATCAGCCCTCACAACTAATTAAAGCCACTTGTATTTTGTAACAATTGCTTTTACATATCACAAATTTGATTTAAAAATCAGTAAACTTTAGTGACAATACCAAATATGAAAAAATATTTATATCTGAGATTTAGTGAATGAAGCTGAGGTAGAATATATTTCCTTAAATACCTCACAAACACTAAAACCAAAACTAATCTTTGTACACTAAAATCAACATCATTCTGTGTATTTCTTTGCCTCGGTGGTTATAAGATAACCACCAATGATTATCTATATTAAATATCATTATTATTATATTAATAAAAGTGCTAAACTTTTAAAGGTAATACAGTACCATTATTATTGCTAAATATATGATAATTATCTTTAAATGTATATAATGATAATTACTTAAATCATTACTAATTCTCTAACAATAATCTATAATGGGTACCTATATTATCAAAAATGTTAAACAATAATGATTACCTATGATAATAATAATCATCTATAATAATCTATTATCTGTTATTAAGGAATGTGTAGCGAGTTCTGAGTGGTTCTGCTTGCTTTGAGTAATTCCAACACAGCAACACAGACACCCTTCTTCCCAACTCCACGATAAGCTTAAAATTAATTCCGAAGGCAGACATCAGGGAGCAACCTTGCCCAGCTTTAATAAGAAGCATCATTATATGAACATAAAGTGTTGTACACCATGTTACAAGTCAGTGGTATTTTCAACAAATTGCCTAGAAATGAAATGGCAGTGAGGGGGATGGGAGTGAAGGAATGAATAAGGGCAAAACCATAAGGTATCCAAAGTGAAGATACCTTACTAACATACTGATATTAATATGATAATTATAATTCATCCAATTACACTTCAAATGTAAACAGATAAAAAAAATAAAATTTTTCCAAACATTTACAATACATTGCTACATGGAACACTGTTTTTTTAACCCAATCTTCCTATATGACCTGGGTTATAAACAAGGTGTTATACAGTATTTTTAATTAAAAGGCTTCAAACTTAGTTTCATTAAATCTATTCTCATGCTGTACACCCTAGAAAAATATAACCAGGATTGATCTCAACCTCTCTCTCTCTTGTATAAAAAAATAAAAATCTTACCCAAAAACCTCCATTTAAAACATTAGCAACTGCCCAAAGCATGCACTTCAATGCATTTAATCCATATTACAGTTAAGAGACAAAGCTCACACTACCAATATGTTAACTAGCACACTATGTGAGCAAAAGATGAAGCAGAAAAATGAAAGACAACCTGGCTAGCCCAACAGAACTCGCTTCATCCTGGCAGCAGGTTCATCCTCTTCACTATCTGACTCAGACAGGGCACGATAGTAATCAGGAGTCTTTGAAGAGCATCGGGATGAACAAAGGTAGTGCATCAGTGGAACTCGATACATTCCACAGAAATCCACAAACTTGATGTGCTCTACACAAGATGTGAAGTACATACCTGATGAAAAATATAATAAAAATAAAATAAAATATTCTTGTGGCTATGAAATTCTTTCATAACTAATTAAAATACTAACTATTTTATCAGCTATTTGATATATATAGTGGTTAAGTAGCATTTCTGTCTCATACTTAACAAATTACAGTTTGGGTCTTCAGCAGTCCTTGCAGTTAACCCGTAAACGGTCCAAACGTATATATACGTTTTTTCAACATTTGAAAGTATGTAAAAAAAGTAGATCTTCTTTTTATTTTTTTACATTTGAAAATGTGCAAAAAAACTTTGATCTACTTTTTTTTTGTTACATTTGAAAATATGTAAAAAAAAACGTAGATCTACTTTTGTAGCACTACACATGTGAACGTAGATCTGATTGGACCGTTTATGGGTTAATGATCTACATAGGTTTAGCTCTTTTTTTTTTTATACTTCTCATGAGTTTACCTCCACGACAAACACATTAAATGTATGTTTTCAACCTTAAGATTAGCACTCATTAGTATCTTACATCATTTACTGCATGCCAAAAAAAAAAAAAATGCAAGAGAAAATTATTAATTCATTGGTTTAAAACAATAAAGGAACAGATATCTCAGTTATACTTAGGATAACTAGGAAGTTTTACAGACAACAACCACTTAAGTCTTTTATTGTAAAATTACATAATGAAATAAATTTCTATAAGCTAGAATAAATCCTCACTTCATAGGGTTCAGTAGAGTTAATTTTAGAAATTACCCTGAATGAGAGAGAGATCTTACTTCATGGGTCACTATGACCCTCTGTAATTTTCTCTTAAGTGTTACTAAAGAAAATCAGTAAAAACACATTGCAGTACTATATTTAAATTTACACTTCCATCTGACTAGATTCTGAATGTTAAACTGTGATAAGGAATTAAGGATAGCTCCATCCTCTGATCTTGAAATATTTGAACAGGTAGTATGTCAGTAGACAGCAACCACCCAAGGAGATACTACCGACCTGCCATGTGAGTGTAAAAATGAAAGCCTGTAATTGTTTTACATGATGGTAGGATTGCTGGTGTCTTGTCTCTGTCTCATAAACATACAAGATTTCAGGTACATCTTGCTACTTTTACTTACACTTAGGTCACACTACACTTGCATGTACAAGCATATACAGTGGACCCTCGACTAACGCTATTAATCCGTTCCTGAGAGCTCATCGTTAGTCAAAATTATCGTTAGTCAAGTTAATTTTCCCCATAAGAAATAATGGAAATCAAATTAATCCGTGTAGGACACCCCAAAGTATGAAAAAAAATTGTTTTTACCACATGAAATATTAATTTTAATACACACAAACTGAAGAAGACATGCACAGTTACATGACACTTACCTTTATTGAAGATCTGGTGATGACTGATGGGATGGGAGGAGGGGAGAGTGTTGATGGTCTTAGTGTTTAGAAGGGAAATCCCCTTCCATTAGGACTTGAGGTGGCAAGTCCTTTTCCAGGGTTACTTCCCTTCCCTTTAAATCTCTCAAACCAACCTTTGCTGGCCTTAAATTCACTCACATCACCACTAGTTGCTGGCATTTTTTTAATTAAATCGTCATACAACTTCCTAGCCTTTTCACATATGATTGCTTGAGAGATGCTATCTCCTGCTATCTGTTTTTTGTTTATCCACACCAATAACAGTCTCTCAACATTTTCGAGTACTTGCGATCTCAGTTTCGAAAACATAGTTGCACCTTTGGCAAGAACAACTTCCTTGATTGCCGTTTTCTTGCCCACAATAGTAGCGATGGTTGATTGGGGTTTTGTGTACAACCTGGCCAGCTCGGAGACACGCACTCCACTTTCATACTTAGCAATGATCTCTTTCTTCATATCCATAGTAATTCTCACCCTTTTTGCTGTAGGGTTGGCACTAGAAGCTTTCTTGGGGCCCATGGTGACTTATTTTGCAGGTGCAATCACTAAAAAGGCTGTGATAATATGAAATGTTCCGATTGTATGCTTGGAAGCGACCGCGGTGGCTGGCTGGCTTGTAAACACTGGCCAGAAGTGGACGCGTCTCAGATGGAATGAATAGTGTTGGTCGAGTTTTTTAGTGCTAGTCGAGGCAAAATTTTTGCGTTAAAATGTATCGCTAGTCGGATTTATCATTAATCGATGCCATCGTTGGTCGAGGGTCCACTGTATATACACACCCCTCTGGGTTTTCTTCTCGTATTTTCTTACTAGTTCTTGTTCTTGTTTATTTCCTCTTATATCCATGGGGAAGTGGTACAGAAATCTTCCGTCAGCCATGCGTGTTGTAAGAGAACTAAAATGCCGGGGGCAAGGGGTTAGTAACCCCATCTCCTGTATAAATTACTAAATTTAAAAAGAGAAACTTTTGTTTTTCTTTTTGGGCCAACCTGCCTCGGTGGGATACAGCTGGTTTGTTGAAAGTAGTAGTATAGAAAAGCTAGTCCTTCCTAACCCATGATAACAATATCAGAGCCCAGCTGTAGGAGGACCAACTTAATTGTTTCTGAACCTTTGAAATGTTAGCTTCAAAACAACATTCCTGGTTACTATAGAGTGCCAGTCAAAAATGAAGGTTTCCAATACACATTTTGCAATATGTTTCTTGGACTAGCTTACCCAACCATCACCATCATGATTGTGTTTATTATGCTTTCTGTAATAATAATAATATACGTAATAAACTAAGCACTAAACATGAAAGGGTCATACAGTGCTGTAGGGTGGGATGTGGAGGTCAAGAAGGAGTGTGCAAGAGTAAAGGTAGGTTATGTAAGGTTTCCAGGATATTCAGCAATCAAATAGAAGATTGAGAAACGTGACCATATCTCATTAAAGATACAGGAACCATACAGGTATGATGCAGTATCAGGGACAACAGAGCTTGTAAATATGCTTGATGTAATGACTGTTAGAAAATTATCTGATTTCAGGAGTCATGTGACTTACACTGAAACTCGACTTCAGATTTAAATTCTGATTCCTGAAAATTTTGAATTAAGAATTACTTATACTGTACTCTCATTTTTCTCCATCACCTTAATTAACTTACCAAATTATAATCAAAATAAACGTTATCAAGATACGTACAGTGGACCCCCGCATAACGTTGGCATCGCATAGCGTTAAATCCGCATAGCGATACATTTTATCGCTAAAATTTTGCCTCGCATAGCGCTAAAAAATTTGCTCAACGCGATTCGTCCAAGACGCATCCATGCGACCTCAGCCAGCCTCACTTGTTCTGCCAGTGGCATTGTTTACAAGCCAGCCTCCGCGGTAACATTCAAGCATACAATCGGAACATTTCGTATTATTACAGCCTTTTTATAGTGATTTCACCTGAAAAATAAGTGACTATGGGCTCCAAGAAAGCTTCTAGTGCCAACCCTACAGGAATAAGGGTGAGAATTACTATGGAGATGAAGAAAGAGATCACTGCTAAATATGAAAGTGGAGTGCACGAGTGGAAGTTGCACGAGGATTTAATTAGAAAAATGCCTGCAACTAGTTGTGATGCGAGTGAATTTAAGGCCAGCAAAGGTTGGTTTGAGAGATTTAAGAGGTGTAGTGGCATACATAGTGTGATAAGGAATGGTGAGGCTGCCAGTTCAGACCAAAAAGCAGCTGAAAAATATGTGCATGAATTCGGAGTACATAGACAGTGAAGGACTGAAACCTGAACAAGTGTTTAATTGTGACAAAACAGGCCTGTTTTGGAAGAAAATGCCAAGCAGGACCTACATTACTCAGGAGGAAAAGGCACTCCCAGGACATAAGCCTATGAAAGACAGGCTTACTCTTCTCATGTGTGCCAATGCTAGTGGTGATTGCAAAGTGAAGCCTTTATTAGTGTATCACTCTTAAACTCCCAGAGCGTTCAGGCAAAAGAATATCCTCAAGGCTAATTTGTGTGTGCTGTGGAGGGCAAACAGTAAGGCATGGGTCACTAGGGACTTTTTCTATGACTGGTTACACCAAGCATTTGCCCCCAATGTGAAAGATTACCTAACTGAAAAGAAATTAGACCTTAAGTGCCTCCTGGTGTTAGACAATGCCCCTGGTCATCCTACAGACTTGGCAGAGCGACTTTGTGGGGACATGAGCTTCATTAAGGTGAAGTTTTTGCCTCCTAATACCACTCCTCTCCTGCAGCCCATGGACCAGCAGGTTATTGCAAACTTCAAAAAACTGTACACAAAAGCTCTGTTTGAAAGGTGCTTTGTAGTGACCTCAGAAACTCAATTGACTCAAAGAGAGTTTTGGAGAGATCACTTTAATATCCTCAATTGTGTAAACCTTATAGGTAAGGCTTGGGAGGGAGTGACTAAGAGGACCTTGAACTCTGCTTGGAAGAAACTGTGGCCAGAATGTGTAGACCAAAGGGATTTTGAAGGATTTGAAGCTAACCCTGAGAGGAGTATGCCAGTTGAGGAATCAATTGTGGCATTGGGGAAGTCCTTGGGGTTGGAGGTTAGTGGAGAGGATGTGGAAGAGTTGGTGGAGGAGGACAATGAAGAACTAACCACTGATGAGCTGCTAGATCAACTTCAACAGCAAGAGGCCACACCTGAGGAAATTGCTTCGGAGGGGGGGAGAGAGAAATTGAAGAAGTTGCCTACTTCAAAGATTAAGGAAATCTGTGCAAAGTGGCTTGAAGTGCAAACCTTCATGGATGAAAATCACCCTCAAACAGCTATTGCAAGCTGTGCTGGTGACTATTACACTGACACTGTTGTGAAACACTTTAGGAAAGTCATAAAGGAACGAGAGGTACAGGCCACTATGGACAGATATGTTGTGCGACAGAAGTCCAATGACTCTGAAGCTGGTCCTAGTGGCATTAAAAGAAGAAGGGAAGCAACCCCGGAAAAGGACTTGACACCTCAAGTCCTAATGGAAGGGGATTCCCCTTCTAAACACTAAAACCATCCAGTCTCCCCTCCTCCCATCCCATCAATCATCACCACCTCTTCAATAAAGGTAAGTGTCATGTAACTGTGCATGTTTTCTTAAGTTTGTGTGTATTAAAATTAATATTTCATGTGGTAAAAAAAATTTTTTTTTTCATACTTTTGGGTGTCTTGCACAGATTAATTTGATTTCCATTATTTCTTATGGGGAAAATTAATTCGTATAACGATAATTTCGCATAACATTGAGCTCTCAGGAACGGATTAATAGCGTTATGTGGGGGTCCACTGTATTTTACTAAAGATGAAAATTTGAATACTTTGTAATTCATATTAGCTCATACCTTTGCATTTTGGATTTACACATCGCTGGCCATTACTGAGGTATGTTACAAGAGTTTGAGGCAGGTCTTGCGAGGTGTACTCAACCTTCTTCAGCTTAATAACTCGAGCAGCGAGTTCCAGCAGGGAAGGTGGATTGTACATAAGTTCCCGGGCACATGAATTTACGAATCTTGTCACAAGAGGATTATCACGAAGACTGAGCTGTGAGATGAAAATAAAATGTAATGAAGTTATAAATTAAATAAAAATAATCACATGTATTGGATTCTCATTTATTTGCATACAATATACTTTACAAAACTATACCAGTAACTTATATACTATATTGTATATGATAGGCTGGAAAAACTACATGTATTATATTCTGGGAAGCACTAAATCCGTAAGGGTCAAACAGCACCTGGGAAATGGGAGGTACTCAGGCTTTATTCAAGCCCCTCTTCAGTGGTAAAAATGATAGTACAACACTTCATAAATGCTTTTATTACCAAACACTTTTCTATACTGCATAGCTACACCTAGCTACATAGGCATAACAAGCAACAGTTATGAAATGAGAACCAAATAGATCCGAAGGGATACTAAGAAACTTTTCTTCTCTAACAGTGGCATTTCGTTGGATTGAATTGAAAGTAGCAAATGCTAAAACCACTGGAAATTTTAAAAAATTATATGAACAAATTATTGAAGATAGGACAATATGAGCAAAGCTTTGCTAATGTAGTCTTAAATACGTAATTACTGTAACTATAAAGAGAGGGTTCAGCATTAGCTATAACAATCTGCATGCCAATAGTTAGTCTAGCTATATAAACAGCAGCAATTCTATTATCTGGATTATTATTTCATGTCAAACTTTCATGAGGTAGATGAGAACCTTGCCTGGAAAGGATGAAAAAAATAATATAGGAATGAGTTAAAAAAAATAAAAGTAGCTAACCTAATAAATATCAAATATTAAAGAAGACACTATACAATAACAGTGAAATGAAAATAAGATAGAAAATAAATATTTTCTAAATGATTTCCCCACTAATTATAAGCATGGGAAAGGATACAGATAAAATATCTATGAAGCAGAAGCTGCCACTATTAAAGCATCATTCATTAATATACTCCTAATAAATTTCTTCCTCTCAGTCCAGGTCATTTCCAAGTTTCATTTATTTTACTTATTAAAATGTAATCACTATTATATTTGCTCATAAGATACAGTAATTCACTGGTACCACTCACCTAACTCTGGCATATCCTGAGCAGTCATACAACAAACTGACACAAACAGATGTGTCCACATCACATCAATGCTTCAGCATTATTAACTACACTCACCAATTTGATTCATCCATTGATGCCTACACTTCCATCTGCTGTAATAGTTTTTTCACAAATTGCTTATGTAGCACCTCAACCACAATAATGGTTCTCTGAACCATTCATCTACAAATAATATCCCTACTAACCTTTATTGTTAATACAATACTGTACTTAATCCATTAGTCTTTTCCAAGACATAACCCACCATCTTGTACCCTCTAATACACACTTGTATATTGTACCCCCATCACATTCTTTCCTCTCAAGTGCTATTAGTAATTAAGTTTTTAGGGAGTCAAAGGTTATATGTGGATTTTTGACTGCACGGGGGAGGTCAGTGCAACTAACCCTCGTATTGTTCAATGGTCAACTGTACTTACATTTAGAGAGCTAAAATTCTGCCGAAATTACAAGCTGACATACCAGTACCCCTTAATTTCTGAATACAATAAAATGCATATCCCCAATAACCAAAACACAATTTAATAAAAGATATTTGCAATTCAAGAAAGTTTTCAAGATTTCATTAAGTTAAAAGGACAATTATTGTAATTTACCATTTCAGCAACACAAGGGTTAAATTTCAGCAACATTAACGCACCTCCATAAGACCCCTCAGCTTAACTGCCCCAACAGGTAGGCAGCAGAGGTTGTTCTTATGAAGAAGGAGAGAGCGTAACCGAGTGAGGTTGGAGATGCTTCTAGGCAATTTCCGGAGACGGTTGTCACACAAAACCAGAGATCCAAGTTGTTGTAGTTCACCAAGTTCATCAGGAACAGTTTCCAGTCGGTTACCACCAAGGTTCAGTACCTGTAAACTGCAAATAAATATTGTTATTTATGAGCCTTTAACCCATCTGTACTTTAAAGGATATACAGTGGACCCCTGCAAATTCGTGCTTCTGAATTCGTGGATTTTTCCTTAAAACCTAACTAATATGTAATTGTTCACAGAAATCCCCACAAATTCACGGAATTTTTTTTGGCTTTTCTCATGGCAATATATAATTTTTTACTGCACAGCTAATTTATCATCATCATCTTCATTCGGTATCATTCATTATTGGTGAGTACCCACACATTTAACGTTACTTTTACTAAATTAAATTATTACCGTATATTTACCATATGTATATAAAAGAAAAACAGGTTTGCATGAATTACAGTATAGCAAAGGAAAGGGGTTTGCATGAATGACTGTACATACGGGGATAACATCGGTAGTTTACATTCTAGCACTGCGGGAGACATAGTACATTACTGAATACAGGTTTATCTTTACATACTTTTTTTTTTAGGGGTGATGTATGAAGCCACGTTTAAAATTAAATTTAAGTCTTTCGGGGGCATATTTAGGGTTTAAACTATAAAAATACCCACTTATGGGCATTTTTTTTAACCTTGTCCAGAATTCACGGTTTTTCCAAATACAGTGGACCCCCGACTTACGATATTAATTCATTCCAGAAGTCTGTTCGGGTGCCGTTACCGAATGAATTTGTTCCCATAAGGAATACTGTAAATTAGATTAGTCCGTTTCAGACCCCCAAAAATACACATACAAAAGCACTTACAAAACTACATTTACATAATTGTTTGAGTTGGGAGCTGATCGTAAGGTGGGGGTCCATTGTACGTGGGTGGGCTTGGAACGTAACCCCTGCGAATTTGGGGGACTACTGAAAAGTAATACTGTACACTAAATGATCTGGTACAGTACTAGAACTGCTCACTCACCTTACCACCCCAAGACAACCAGCAAAAAATGTGTGTGACTGGTTTTCAATCCAAGTAAAAATAGTACTGTATACCTGGAGAGGGTTTCAGGGGTCAACACATCAGTGGCCAGGTGTGAGACCAGGCCATGATTTCATAGGTCTGATTTATATATTCAATCCTGTCGAGCACTTCCACTCTTGTTTTATCATGTCACTGCCCTTCTCGGCAATCATAATAGTAGGAGCATTTGTATTAGTATTGGTAATAAATGGCATAATGGAGGCATCCACTACTCTCAGTCCTCCCACTCCACAAACCCTCAGTGTATGAACCACCACACCATAAGGATCTGAAGCTGGTGCCATCTTACAGCTCCCAGTAAGATGGTAGAAAGTTATAGACATGTGATGGACATAGCAAACCAAGTTGGAATCAGAACTGTATATTTCACCAGTGCACCCAGAGAAAGTCTGATCATAAAACTTTGCTCTAAAGTTGCTGATGGAGGCTGAGGTGTTGCCCACTGCCAAGATGATCTTTATCCCTTTATCAAGGGCCTTGACATCATCTGGATGTGACAAAAGCTGAGGATCAATATTTGGATGATCGTGTACATTTGTTGACTTTAGCGTGATGGTTCTTCTACTCTTGGGTAGACCAAGGATGGGTCTGATACAGAATCCTTCTCTTCCCAATATTTCACCCATGTACTCATTAAATTTCTTTTTATCACATCCCCAAAAGCCAGAATTTACAGTACCCTTGTCAAATGCTATAATGGCACCACTGAAAAATAGTTGCATGTCGGGCCATAATGGATCACCTTCTTGTGACACTTTTACTCAAGCATTTAGGAAATTCAGTGGTGCTGCACCCACAGGTCCTTGTCTGGTGGCTGTGTTCCTTGATAGCAATGGGGTTGAATGTTTCCATTAAGCCCAGAGAAGATATGCCTTTAACGCCCAACCAGCTGAGACCTAAAACTTCAACGTGATTGTGCACATTATGTTGACTAATAAAATTCAAAAGTTATCTGGTTGCAAAATAATACTGCACCATCAAACCAGTCTCTTCAAGAACACATTAACCACATCTATTCATACACCTGTCCAACCTATAATTACTGCTATCCAAAGTTCTCACTTCAATGATGCTACCTTTGAGTTTGTTTCCTTCATCTCAAACACTGCTGTCATACCAATACTTCCCTATATCCTTTCTAAATCTAAATTTGTCTAAATTGAAGTCTTTGCTGCAAGTCCTGCCTTGGTTAGGTACTTTCAGCATGGTGTTTATATCCTTTTTTTCTTTTGAACACCTCAATCATATCATTCCTTATTCTAAATCTTTCCAGAGTGCAAATTCAGTTTTCATCCTATCTTTGTAGGAAAAATACCTAATACATGGTAGTAGGTTGGTAGACAGCAACCGCCCAGGGAGGTGCTACTGTCCTGCCAAGTGAGTGTAAAACGAAAGCCTGTAATTGTTTTACACAATGGTAGGATTGCTGGTGTCCTTTTTCCTGTTTCATAAAGATGCAAGATTTCAGGTACGTCTTGCTACTTCTGCTTACACTTAGGTCACACTGCGCATACAAGCATATATATACATACCCCTCTGGGTTTTCTTCTATTTTCTTTCTAGTTCTTGTTCTTGTATATTTCCTCTTATCTCCATGGGGAAGTGGATCAGAATTCTTCCTCCATAAGCCATGCGTGTTGTAAGAGGCGACTAAAATGCCAGGAGCAAGGGACTAGTAACCCCTTCTCCTGTATATATTGCTAAATGTAAAAGGAGAAACTTTCGTTTTTCCTTTTGGGCCACCCCGCCTCGGTGGGATATGGCCGATGTGTTGGAAGAAGAACTTCATCTTGCTCTTTGAAATTTCCAGTGCATTTACAGGTTTGTCCATAAATATACAGTGGTCCCTCGTTTTTCGTAATTAATCCGTTCCTGGAGGAGCTACTAAAAACGAAATTTACGATTTGCGAATCAATTTTCCCCATAAGAAATAATGTAAATACAATTAATCCGTTCCTGACACCCAGAAGTATTAAAACAAAAATTTTTTACATGAAATATACATATAGTACATAAACAATACAATGGGAAATGATGAATGAAACATTAACAGCATAACACTTACCTTTATTGGAGATTCTTCTTAGTGTATGGGAGACTGGAGGAGGAGAGAGATTGGATTGTTTACAGTTTGGAAGGGGAATCCCCTTCCAGCAACACCTCAGGTACCAATTGCTTCTCTGGGGTTGCTTCTCTTCTCTGTTTCTTAATGCCACTAGGACCACCTTGAGAGTCACTCTAGTCCTGTCTCGCAAAGTAACTGTGGAGAGAGCTCTGTTTCTGGCGTCTCTTTAACACTTCCTTAAAATGGCCCAAGACTTTGTCACTGTACATATTTCTCACCTTCTTTACCACAGGCTTGGCACTAGGAGCTTTCTTTGGAGCCATGGTAGCTTATTTAGTAATTGCAAGCACTAAAATGAGTGGAATATTATGAAATATTTCGTAGGAGCACTTGAGGGGACCTTCACTCACTGGTAAACAATGCCAGACTGGCTGGGTAGGGAGGCCGCCCCGGCTCACACCGTGCGTAGGTGTCCAGGACGAACTACTATTCGCGAGTCAACCTATGAAAAGCGAGTCCATGTTTATACGAAAATACCCATTGGCGAAATTTACGATTGCCGAGAACTACAAAAAGCGAGGGACCACTGTACAGCATTATCTAAATATGGCCTTACCAAAAATATGAGGTATTGAGCAACAGAAAAGAACAAACACCAAATTCACAAAATGGAGAAAACTGCAGGTGTGGGGGAGATCAGAGCTAAGAAGCTTAATTTATTTTGTTATGGTGATCTGAGCCAAACTTACAGATGTAGAAGGCAACATCTGATTCCCACAGACGAACATTACAGAACAGATTTGTTCACTAACCCAGATTTGAGCCATGGTGGCACTTATTCTTTTCTTCCACCTCATACTTAAATTGAGATGTAACCTTAGGACCTCCATTATTTATACTACTTGATTATTATAATAATCAAATAAAGTGCTAAACTGACAGGGATCATGCAGTATACCACTTGATATGAAGCCAAGAATCATACTAGCTTTATTGAAATTACTTATGCACTGTTGTCTTGATTTTATTGAATTCACTTTAACCAGAATCCAGAGTACAGTACTGTACAGTATTTAGCTTATAAGTACCATAGTTTTTTCTTTTCCAAGAATTAGAATCTTGCAGTAACAAACATTGACTGGCAAACTGAGCTAGAAATCTATACAGATATTGACGAATGTACAGTGGACCCCCGCTTAACGATCACCTCCCAATGCGACCAATTATGTAAGTGTATTTATGTAAGTGCGTTTGTACGTGTATGTTTGGGGGTCTGAAATGGACTAATCTACTTCACAATATTCCTTATGGGAACAAATTCGGTCAGTACTGGCACCTGAACATACTTCTGGAATGAAAAAAATATCGTTAACCGAGGGTCCACTGTATTAATAATTTTCTAAAAAAGACCCAATACCTCTATAACAAGCACTGCCCTAAAAAAACTAAACAGATGACAGCTAAGAGACTGAACAGTCCCTGGCTAACACCCAGCATTCTCAAATCCATAAATACAAAACACCTATACGAAAAACAGTACAGAATGGGTCACATATGCCTCAAATGATGTAGTGGAAGTTTTAGCAGTAAAGGTCGAGAACCAAAACCTAGTCATTGTGGTAGTCTACAAGCCTCCGGATGCAACATCCCAGCAATTCCAGGAACAGCTGTTAAAAATTGACCACTGTCTGGAAAATCTTCCAGCTCCTGCACCCAACATCTTGCTCCTGGGGGATTTTAACTTAAGGCACCTAAAATGGAGGAATATAGCAAATAATATTGTTGCAGTAATAACACCAGGAGGCAGCTCTGATGAAAACTCACACTCACACGAGCTTTTAAATCTCTGCACAAAATTCAATTTAAACCAGCAAATAATAGAGCCTACTAGACTGGAGAATACACTAGACCTCATCTTCACTAACAATGATGATCTGATAAGAAATGTCACCATATCAAAAACAATATACTCAGATCACAACATAATTGAGGTTCAGACATGTATGCGTGGAGCCCCAGACCGACATAATGAGACTAGTCATGAGGGAGCATTCACCAAATTCAACTTCAATAACAAAAACATAAAGTGGGACCAAGTAAACCAAGTCCTAACCGATATAAGCTGGGAAGATATACTAAGCAACACAGACCCCAACTTATGCCTAGAACAGATTAACTCGGTGGCACTCGATGTATGCACAAGGCTTATTCCTCTAAGAAAAAGGAGGAGTAGATGTAAAATAGAAAGAGACAGGCGCTCCCTTTACAGGCGACGGAAAAGAATAACAGAGCAGCTAAAAGAGGTCAATATATCTAAAATGCGTAGGGAGACACTGGTCAGAGAAATAGCAAGCATCGAACTTAAGCTAAAAGAATTCTTTAGGAGTCAGGAATCGCGGGAAGAACTAAAAGCCATAAATGAAATCGAAAGAAACCCAAAGTATTTCTTCTCCTATGCCAAATCAAAATCGAGAACAACGTCCAGTATTGGGCCCCTACTTAAACAAGATGGGTCCTACACAGATGACAGCAAGGAAATGAGTGAGCTACTCAAGTCCCAATATGACTCAGTTTTTAGCAAGCCGCTAACCAGACTGAGAGTCGAAGATCAAAATGAATTTTTTATGAGAGAGCCACAAAATTTGATTAACACAAGCCTATCCGATGTTATCCTGACGCCAAATGACTTTGAACAGGCGATAAATGACACGCCCATGCACTCTGCCCCAGGGCCAGACTCATGGAACTCTGTGTTCATCAAGAACTGCAAGAAGCCCCTATCATGAGCCTTTTCCATCCTATGGAGAAGGAGCATGGACACGGGGGTCGTCCCACAGTTACTAAAAACAACAGACATAGCCCCACTCCACAAAGGGGGCAGTAAAGCAACAGCAAAGAACTACAGACCAATAGCACTAACATCCCATATCATAAAAATCTTTGAAAGGGTCCTAAGAAGCAAGATCACCACCCATCTAGAAACCCATCAGTTACACAACCCAGGGCAACATGGGTTTAGAACAGGTCGCTCCTGTCTGTCTCAACTATTGGATCACTACGACAAGGTCCTAAATGCACTAGAAGACAAAAAGAATGCAGATGTAATATATACAGACTTTGCAAAAGCCTTCAACAAGTGTGACCATGGCGTAATAGCGCACAAAATGCGTGCTAAAGGAATAACAGGAAAAGTCGGTCGATGGATCTATAATTTCCTCACTAACAGAACACAGAGAGTAGTTGTCAACAGAGTAAAGTCCGAGGCAGCTACAGTGAAAAGCTCTGTTCCACAAGGCACAGTACTCGCTCCCATCTTGTTCCTCATCCTCATATCCGACATAGACAAGGATGTCAGCCACAGCACCGTGTCTTCCTTTGCAGATGACACCCGAATCTGCATGACAGTGTCTTCCATTGCAGACACTGCAAGGCTCCAGGCGGACATCAACCAAATCTTTCAGTGGGCTGCAGAAAACAATATGAAGTTCAACGATGAGAAATTTCAATTACTCAGATATGGTAAACATGAGGAAATTAAATCTTCATCAATGTACAAAACAA